ATTGCATTATCTGAGCTGATTGTTCTGGTTCCTCTTATTTAACTGTTGATTGCTGAGTATGTGATAAGAAAGGATATGCTCTAGGCTGTTTGTTTCCATCTTTGGCTTGTGTTTACTTTCTTCTTTTAATACTTGTTAAACAAAATTAATCTTTATATGTCTGTTAATGGATGATCTATCGGAATGCCAAGATTCTAGGAATATTCTTGTTTTGGGTGGTTGGGCATCTTCTAGTTTCCCAGATGAATTTGTGATTTGTCTTTATCTTGTAAAATTAAAGAATTTGTCTGTGTATACTGAAATTAAACAACTTAAAAGACACATATAGATTAAGTCTTTATAAATTTTTTAAAAGCAATCAAAAGCCAAGAAGGAAGTTCTACAATAAAATGATTCAGGGTAAAAATTTATATTACATTTTTTGAAAATAAAATGGCAGAAAGCCAACTAGGCAACTTTGGATGAATCATTTTCTCTCAGCCCTAAATAGAAGGTAAAGGCAAACCACTTCCCAAAATCATGCCAAGTAAACTGCAGAGACTGGTCCAGGGAGTCACCAAGAGTCAACATTCACTCAAAGGAACTTGAGCTTCCTGTTCCTGTGCAAGAACATGTATTCTGTTGGCTGTTGTAGGGGTAATAGCTGGCTCTGTAGGTTGCCTCAGCTCCCAGGTTTGGTTGAAGTTTGGCTGATGCAATAAAAGGGCTTGTTGGGCAATTCCTATTGTGGCTGAGGGCTAATCCTACCTTTGTTCAGACCTTGTTGCAGGGAATTTGCTTATGAATAGAGCTAACTATCTCTTAAATGCTGACATCTGCTGTGGGCTATTAGGGAAGGTGGGGGCTGCTTTCCAAGAGCATGTTTCTCATTCAGGGAAATACAATATTCTGCCTTCTTAATATTTCTCAAAAGTATTTCATTCTTCTAGCAGAGAGGTGGGTGCTAGGTTTCTACACAACTGTATTCTACAAAAAGTAATCCATTAGCTGTTAGAGATTCAAGGCTTCATGAGACACATGAAGCCTTGAATCAGAATAACTTAGTACCTTTCCAAACTAAGACATTTTATTAGACAGACATAAATTGTTATAAACTGCAGCACACTTCATCAGATGCATGGAGTGATTAAACTGATGTTTAAATTGGGAAGGGGGAAGACAAGATGCTTATGCAGCAATTGTAATATGTTAAAAATCTACTGTTTGTGGAGATCCCAACAAACTGCTAATTGATTGTAATCTGCCTCACTTGTAATCTGCCTAACTACCCGGTTTTCTGGCTTCCCCTCTTCCTCTCCCTCCACCCACCCGTCCCAGTTTCAGTCCAAATCAACTTACTTCACCATAGATCTGATACATGAGCAGTTTATAGGAGACTTTTAATAAGATGTGATAGTCTGAAAAGATGCTAACAGGTTTCTTCTGATATTTGGCTACCATAGATCAGCACAGCTCCCCCTTTAAAATGCAGCATTGAACAGTCTTTCAAAAATGTAATTAAAACTGTAACTGACTTTTGACATGTCTTTTGCTGCATGAAATAAAAGAATTGCTTGAAAATGATAGATTATATAAATGTTACATTGTGATACTTTTAAAGTACAGTGAGAAAAGTATTGAGATACTGTATATAATTTTATACCTTAATTAAGCCATACTTTTGCTTTGCAGGTGGATATTTGCAGAAGAAAGCTTGTGGAAGAAATAAAGAGGCGAACACATATTCTCTAGAAATATTGGATTTCCCTTTGAAAATATCAGCAAAATTCTTCATAAATGTGGCAAATCAGTTTTTTTTTTTCAAAGCTGTAATTTATTTTTCTTTAAGCCACTTAATCTTACGAGATCAAGGATCTTAAATGAAGGCTGGTATTTTCAATATTCTGTTCCAGTGTTTAAAATATTGGCATTCTGAATCTATGATTTGACATCAATAAAACTTGTTTCAACCCATGTTTTCTGCATTCGTCTTTTCCACTTAAGCAAAATAATGAAATGTACTGGACATCCAGCCTTACATTACTCAAATTTGGTCAGTTATCCTGATCAGAGATCTTAAATGGGTATTCTGCCTGTGATATTAACAAGTCTACCTTGGAAGCTTCATAAAACAGTTGGACATAAACATGGTAAAAAGGGGGGGGGAGTTTTCCAGTTAATTTATTTTGCCCTGAAGCCCTTTTCCAAAACCTTTCGAACTAAAAAATTCAAATTCACAAATTCTGGAGGGCTATAAAAAAACCTGTAGCAGTGGCCTCAGGAGCCGGGGAAGGGAGGGGGATCATGGCGGTTGCTGTGCAGGGCCAACCGGGCTACTCCTGTCTAGGCGCGCCTTCCCAGAGGTAGTAAAGCACTCTGCCACCCCCAAAAGGGAGGGCACTAGGCTTCTGCCACTGCCCACTGCATCCTGCCTGGCCCCGCTCTGTACCCAGCTCCTCTGGGACGCTCTAGCATTGCGAGGAGGAATTGTGCAAAGCGGAGCCAGGCAATATGCAACAGGTGGCGGCCATGGCTGCCTCCTGTCAGACTGGGAAGGGGAAGGCCCCACCCCCGACTGCCATCCCATGTGGACTCCCTTGACCTCCACCAATCCGGCGTAGGCAACTTTGAGGGGGAGAGACAGCCGGCATACAAGCCAGCATGGTTGCACATAAGAATAGAATTAGCCCCAATTGAAAAAGTGGAGGGAAGCAATGTTGCCTCCCCCCACCCCACTGCCCAGTTTCATTTCTAGTTACAGGTATTTTTCCAGATGGAATTGATGGTACAGAGCTACTGAGAACCCAAAGTAACTGTCGGGAATTTTGCCTTTCTTGAGAACCACCAACTTAGTGTCCATGTTGAAAGCAGCACATCTTAGAGGAACAGTTGCGCCAGTTGCGTCCCTTTCTGGATCTTTACGCACGGTCACTCATGCCCTTGTCACCTCCCGCCTGGACTATTGCAACGCTCTCTACATGGGGCTCCCCTTGAGGAGCACCCGGAGGCTCCAACTGGCGCAGAGTGCGGCCGCGCGGGTGGTAATGGGAGCGACATGGCGTTCCCATGCAATACCTCTCCTGCACGAGCTGCACTGGCTCCCGGTGGTCTTCCGGGTGCGCTTCAAGGTTTTGGTTACCACCTTTAAAGCGCTCCATGGCTTAGGACCCGGGTACTTGCGGGACCGCCTACTACCACCAATAGCCTCCCACCGGCCGGTACGCTCCCATAGAGGGGCTCCTCCGGGTGCCGTCAGCCAAACAATGCCGACTGGCGGCCCCCAGGGGGAGAGCCTTCTCTGTGGGGGCACCTACTATCTGGAACGAGCTCCCCCCAGAGATACGGAGGATCCCGGATCTGCGCACCTTCCGCCGCGCCTTAAAGACCTTACTATTTCACCAGGCCGGCCTGGCCTAATTTTCCCCCTCTTTTATAAAAGATTTTTAAAATTTTAAACATCTTTTAGTATTTATATATTCAATTTTAAATTGGTTTTAAAAGTTTGGGGTTTTAAATTTGTAGGGGCCAAAATTATTTAATTTGATTTTATTCTATTTTTTAAATTTTGTATTGTATGTGTTTTTATTGTTTGGCTGTGCACCGCCCTGAGTCCTTCGGGAGTAGGGCGGTATAGAAATCTAATAAATGAAATGAAATGAAAATGAAATGAAACAACAGAAAGCCACGGTGTACCCCAAAACCAGAAGAGAGCACCCCCAAATTTGCTTCCTTTGCTACCGGAAGAAGCTGAAAGTGCATAGGGGCTGTGGCTCGCCCTACCAGCGACCACCCATGCAGAATGTGGCTAGTTTGCTGGGAAAACCAATGCAGGATATTGCTGTTGGTTGGGGAATATTTTCTCTTGCTGCTGCGCTGTTCCCAAGACGCCCCAGTTTTTTTCCCACCAAAGGTTTGACTGTGGTGCTTGCCCGGGCGGGTAGTTTCATTACCGCCTCTCCACCTACACGCATTAATGGATGGTTCTCTTGCATTTTTCTTCTAGGGAAAAGACACAAACACAATCTCTTAAAGGGCCCGCTGAGGTTAGACACCTGCCCAGTGCACAAAAGGTGGGGAGAAGGGACTGATACGTTCTTACTGGCTGGATCTAAACTAAACCAAGTTATATTCCCTGCTTCCCATCAATGTTAGATCCAGCCAAGAACAGATCCTGTGGATATATAACAACATTGTTACTTTTCTGGTAAACTGCATAGCTATCTAAAAGGAAGCAGAATTCCTTGGCTTGGAATTAAAATTTAGTATCTGAATCTTCCATTTTCATTAGTCATCCCTGTGATTTACTGAGCAGGGCCAGGCAATAATGGGACAAAAAGCTGTGAGAGCTGTGGATCTGGTATAAAAATCCTGCTACTGAAGAGGATTCATGCCTTGGACACACTTTTTTACAACCCAAATGGTTGTAATTATGGAAAGCCCATAATTACTAGGGCTCAGTTCATGCAGGCAGATGTGATCAATATTTGATGGTTTTAAATTGTGAGAAATCAAAATAGTCTCTTGAACCTTTTTCATTACCATGGTAAAAATGATTGGTAATGTGCATCTGTTTTCATAATGCCTTAATTGGGAATCATACATAGAAATAGTGTGACTCTTGAGTATCTTTGCCTCAAATTGTCTTGACAACAGAGTGGGACAAAACATGACACACGGTATAACCATGTGCTGTGTAATGTAAACATGGAAAATCAAGAGGATCCACTTTCCTTTGGAGAAGGAAAGTTTGGCCAGAAACTCGGGAGAGGTGTGGTCTTTCCTTTTCCAGCAGCCGGTAACTTTGGCCTGGACCAAGCTGGAAGGGTGAGAGTCATCAAACTGTCCCCGCGCCCGGCCTGTGCAAAGCTCCCGCAGCTACAGTGGTAAAAGATATTTTCAACCCAACCAACCCTCCTAGTGACGGGGAAGGGCAGGGACGCGAAGAAAGTTCGGTCTCGCCGGCGCCTCAAACAGCCTTCGCGCTCTTAATTAGTCCTAAATGATCCAGCGAAACACTAAGGAGTGACCCACCCAGCCTAGAGGAGAGGCTCTTAATTCTGGCCAATCAGAAGACGCCCTTGTTCTGATCCAGTACAAAAGGTGCCGCCACACCTCCCGAGTGAAGGATAGGCTTGTGAAAGTGGTGTTCGTTTGGGGCAAAGATGAATGGCATGCTGGAGACCCAGGTACTTGGTAGCGCTGGTTTTAGGGTTTTGCAGCAAATGATTCAGTGGACTGATCCTCAGCGTTAGTAAACTCGCTGATTAGCCTAACATGTTAAGTGCAGTTATTTTAATCTCAGCTTTATTGGTTTTTAATGCGTTTACTGACCAATACATAATTACGCATCGGTATTACGTTAATATTACCATTCAGACTTTTATTCGGGTCTACTTAGGAGTACATCGCCGCAAATTCACACCGCGCTCGTGTTTTACGTTCCCGCTTTAGTTAAAGGGCGTGGAGAGCAAATGTATGAGGCCCCGCCTTTCGTCCAATTTTGCCGCCCTCTAGTAATTCTTCAAGTTTCATGCTGAGTGGTTGATTCCATAATAATAGAATATTATTGTATTCTAATACAGTAAACCAGACAGTAGGCTGCAGAAGCCTTTTTCCCTTGTTAATTCTTGCAATGAGTTTCCTGCATACAAGATTGAAAGATGATGCCCCTGAAGTACTCTGAATGTTCAGAAAGAGTTACATAAATGGTGTTGTTAAAATCAAGGCAATTAATTGCAATGGAAATACTTGAAGAAAATGTCCCCAAGATAATGCTTTCCATTAGAGATAGTTACTACACTGCACTTGTGTTTATTCTAGATACCATCTCAAATGTGGAGTGAAAAAATAAACCAGGCTAATAAAGCTGCCCTTCTGACTTGGGTGAAAGAGACTGGAATCCAGTTAGTGCAGGTCAATGGGCAGAGAAAATATGGTGGTCCTCCACCAGGTGAGTAGAAAACTTAGAAAAACTAATACTGTAATCTAATTTTGCATTAATGTACAGTTGGATAGCCAGCAATGGCATTGGTGAACTTTCCTATTTCTTTAGTTATATGCCACAACTTGCCTTAAGGTATATGCCTTGCTTATTACAGCCTTTAGTCCTCTTCCAGATATTAATGGTGTTTCTTGGCCAGCCAAAAGGTTATCTACATGTATTGCAAATTAATATGAACAAGGAACATTTTCCTAAATATTTCAGGGAAGTGAAAATACTTTGCTGATAATGTGACTTTTCCTTGTTCTTTCCACAGGATGGGCTGGCTATGCCCCACCATCCGGTTCAGAGGTTTTTATAGGAAAAATCCCCCAGGATATCTATGAGGATAAACTTATTCCTCTCTTCCAAAACGTGGGGAAACTTTATGAATTTCGTCTCATGATGACATTTAGTGGGCTTAACCGTGGCTTTGCCTATGCTAAATATATGAACCGTCGAAATGCCCAGGAAGCAATTGCTTTACTCAACAACTTCGAAATCCAGTCTGGCTCCCCCATTTTGGTTTGTAGAAGCACCGAGAAGTGTGAGCTCTGCATTGATGGTTTGGCACCCTCGCTGAAAGAGTGCCACCTTCTGCCAATGCTGCAGGAACTTACCTCAGGACTCCAAAGCATCTCCTTACATGCTAGCCCTTTCAGGAAGAAGAGGCAGCTGGCAGAGGTGAAATACATTTCCCATCAGGCTGCTGCAATAGCCAAGAAAAATCTTGTGGAAGGTTTGTTTTATGTTTTGCCATACTGGAAAAAGAATGTTGCTCATGATGTTCTGTGAACCAATTACTCTTGTCATGTGCTGTGCTGGAAATGGCCAGGAAAGCTGCAGATTTCCTATGCATCTGAAGCTTTGAGGTCAGCAAAACTCAGCAATAAAGTCTTTGGAAACAGTTTCCAAGTGCCTGGAAGTGTTAGGAAAAAAGGTTTGACAGTAAAATACAAAGGATGGTATAAATGGATGAACTTTGTTTAAATCTCAAATATGAGGTTGAAATTATGCACCCCCTCTCCCCTCCCCCAGAATAGAGTATAATGAATCTTTTTTGCATTTGTTGTCTTTTTAAAATGTATGATGACAAAATAAGTATGTTTGGGAACAATTTAGCAAACTAACTCTTCATTACTTAGGAAAAAATATTGGACAGAGTTGGCAAAAGTAATCTGTTGTCCTGGTTACTAGATTTACATTGTCTTTTTCTAGAAAATTGATGGGGAACCTACATAATGTGTGTCACAGGTGACATGCCAGGCCTCCAGACCCTCTCGAAGTTGCACAAGAGGGCCTTGCTCTTGCACAGCCTCTGGAGCCTCTAAAAAGCATGCAAGAACAGGGCATGCTTTCCTGTTCTTTTTGGAGGCTGAAAGGCCCCACAAGAGTTCTTTGACTTAGAACTGCCTCAGATAGACATTTACAAGTAAGTATTTATTAAATAATAAATTTAAATAAAGTATTACTCTGTTATGAATTGTGTCTCTTGTTGGAGGCAGGGGGTGATACACCATCATTCAAGGTAGGCACTTTCTGAATTTGTAACAGGCCAAGCCCAAAGATTTTGCCATCACTGTTCTAGATCGTTTGGAGTTTAGACAGAGTTGGGGAATATGGCCCTTTTACGACTTGTGGACTTCAACTCCCAGAATTGCTTGCTCAGGAATTTTGGGAGTTGAAGTCCACAAATCATAAAAAGGCCATAGTTCCCCACCCATTTTTGAAGAACCTATGTATTGGCGAAGCAGAATCACTGCGGTATATGTAAACTCTGATGCCACTATCTTGAAGTTTAGCCATATTATTAACCAAATGTGGAGCAATCTATATTGAAATTCAGATATACATTGCTTTTTGTCTTATGCAGGTAGCTTGTGTCTCTGTGGAGATCAAATTGAAGTGGCTTGGCTAACACCTATTATTAAACAGGAGCTCCATAATGTCTCAGTTCCAGGTAATCTAAAGGCCCTGCCATCCAGCTGGAGTCACAGAAGTGTCCTTCCTCAAGTATCTTCCAGGCCTATAGACTGCCAAATGCTACCAACAAGAGCCAGTGTATTGGATTATTTAAAACTGCAGTGTGAGCTGCATCAGCTGGGTTCTCCTGTAATCTTTACAAAGTGTGTGCAGAGGAATCCTGAAGACTGGCTGCAGTTCTGGTATCAAGTGGTGATACCAAAATATCCATCACCCTTCAGTGGGTTCATTTGGATCAAGCCTGATCCCTCTGGCTTGGAAGACCATGAAAAAGTGAAGTATTTTGTGGCCTTGCAGCTACTTAAAGTCCTAGGTAAGTGTGCTTATGGTTTAATTTGGGAAGCAATTATTGTAGTAGTGGTAATTTATTAACTGATCATTTCACAGAAAATAAAAGTAAAATACAGGATGTAATTCTGAGTAAAATAGATAAAATACAGTAATAAAATACAAATGTGGTAAATACAAAAAATCAACACTCAGATAACATATCACCTTTACATAATATTCTAATCAATGCAATATAGCTCTTAGCTGAGTTGCGTTCACTATAAACTTACCAGTTCTATTTACAATGTCTAGAATAGAAATAGAATTTTTATTGGCCAAGTGTGAGTGGACACACAAGGAATTTGTGTTGGTGCATATGCTCTCAGTGTACATAAAATAAAAGATACGTTCATCAAGAATCATAAGGTACAACACTTAATGATAGTCATAGGTTACAAATAAGCAATTAGGAAACAATATCAATATAAATTGTAAGGATACCATTAGAGCCCAGGAGCAAATGAGGCAATCTGAGATTCAGGTTTCCAGCAGGGATGTTAAACACTTAGCCTAAAAGGGGCATTGAGTTGACAGTCGAATAACACGTGAGCAATATTTTTGAAGGCTAGGGCACCACATGTGCATGTCCCAGCCATATCATGAAGTGCCCACGTTTGGTCATGGAACCCAACAATTTAAATGTTGCTCTAGAATAGATCCTTCTTAAGAATTACAAAAAAACTCATTGGCAAGTATTTCTCAAATTGGAAAATGGTTTTATTGTTAGCCAATTTAAAAATCTATTTTTTGCAAATAATTCCATGTGTGAATTTATGGCAGAGTTGAAAAAGGAGACCTGCAACCAGGGTCTGAAGTTTCAAAAATCACTTTGCAGTCACATGGTTGTACTTCTGGTGCTTACAACATCCCATGAACTGCGGTGATTGCTTAATGACTGCCACAAAAAAGACATAAAATTGGGTCAGTCACATGATCAATCCATTTTACAAGCATTATGACTTGCAATTATTATGAGCAAGCTCTGTGATGGTCATAATTCAACTACCTCTATTCAGTTCTGGATTAGCATCATCCCGCACAGCTAATTTTAATTGTTAATAGATGTGCAAGTAATGAGCTTGTTTTCAGACCAGTGAAATGTTTTTGGAAAGTAACAAGTATGATAGGCATATAACATATATACCATTTATTATTTCTTAATTTTTTTTAAAAAAAGGCAGAATGAGATTGGAAATATCAAAAAAAAAAAAAAACACCTAAAAGTTTTTCTTTTTCCAGCAGGGTACCCTGTGATGTAAAAAAGAATCACTCTTCAAATTAATGAGGCTTGTATGTCTTGCTGTTTTAATTGGTTTCGCTGAGCCAAGTCATATGGAAAATGTGTACTGGATCTCTTTTGTCTTATTTTTTGTGGGAGGATTTGAGAATTGTTTTTTGTTCTGGTTTTCATGTTGATAGGAAGATTAGAATTTTCAGTGCACTAAATTATTTAATAGTTACTTTGGGAGCAGTCTATGCAGTTTTAGAAAAAAAGACAAGCTGTTGGTTACTGGATAATATAATGTGGGTGTAGTCTGTACAATATTTAAAATCCAGCAATGACCAATTTCCTTTAAGATTGTGGGTTATTTTTCTTTTATGTTCAAGTATTTTCATTTATATTTTACTATTTGAATATGTTTTCATTTCTGACAGTTTGAATTTACATTACAGCCAGATGCCTTAGGAGAAGAGCAGCTTGGAGATATCATAGTACTGAATGTTGTTAGTGCTTGCTGGGTAGGAAAAATCCTTTTTTCTATGAAAGGAAGAATGTATCTGTAATACTTAACCTTTCCAATATTGGAAGCCAGTTTGCACTGCACAGGGAGGCCTTGTTCTGACACCTTTGAAATGCAACACTAAAGCAGATGCTGCATTAACAGAGGAAGCTTATTCCACATGGAAAATAGTAAAGGGGATCTAAGGGGGGAAATGTATGTCTTTTGCTGCTCTGCATGTTTCAGTGCTGGAATTGATATGTAGGGCATATCTATATTAAAAAAGTTTTGACAAATGTGTAGTCCCTTTCTGAAATAATGACTTGCTTTATTGATAACAATTAAAGATTTCATTGTGAAATTTATGTTTGTATATTGTTCTGTTTCTTGCTTTCCACACAATTATCTTTTTTTAAAAAAAGAGCTTATTGTCCTATTGGCCATATTAAGGAAGAAATATCACTTTCCTGTGGCCTAATGATTCTATGCATGAGAACTAGCATCCTTACTCAACACTGCTTTAACACACCATTCCCATATAATTTCAGATTATAGTACTTTTATGTCATCCAATTCAACTATAAGGTTTATGTAAGTTACAAAAAGATCAACATAGATAATACAAAACAGGTTGCTCATACAATTAACTATCCTGATCAAGGCTGAATATCTCTGCAAGCATGATTTCCACAATTTGCAGGAAATGGAAGCAAAGGTGAGGCCAATGTTCTAAACAAGAGGGCTGCTCTCAAGGTCTGTTTTTAGCCCCCCCTCACCTGAATCTTATGGGGGTGGTAGATTCTGCATGCTAGTTGCTAAGCACCAGTCATTGAGCAAAAGGTCACACAGTAACTTACAATTTTACTTTTACGTTCCCTATTAACTCTGCTTGTCACAAACCAGTTGTGAAGAGTATACAGTGGTGATTATGTGACTTGTTCTAAATGCTGTGACAGTTCTAAATGCATGCCAGTTGCAAAGTGCCCAAATGCTGATTACATTAATATGGGCTACTGCAACACTCAGGAATGCTAGGATTGGTCACAAAAACCATTTTTAATACCATAACAAGTGGTCAATATATGAGGCAGTCAGTGAGGTCTACCTGCAATTTCATTTAAATATACAGCATAAAACTCAAATTTTTGCTGTTGTCATATATGTCAAGGTTCCAAGTAATACATCCTATTCAATAACTCCGAGGCAGGCAAATTCCTCAAAGAACATTTTATTGGGTCATACCAATTTGGCACATTCTTGGTGGAAAACCGGCTCTAAGTTCCTGCCAGTTTTACACCCAATTAAAAGTAAAACTTTGTCACTTCCCCTCAGAGTCTTCAGTAACATGGTCCAATCAGCATGTAGTTCAGTTGCTAGGTGACCTCAGTCTCCATCGTTCAAACACCTGCACCAATGTCCTTGATTCCCAGGGGAAAGAATTTTATTTAGGCTACAACACCCCAGCTATCTCTACACCCCTTTCCCTGCCCCCTTCGCTCCAGGCTTGTCAGCCCTCAAGCAGTGAGAAGAGAAACCTCCCTAGAGAAAAGCTACCAAAAGAAAATAGCCAGTTTCCTGCAAGAGAGAGAGAGAGAGAGAGGTTAGTTGGGGAGGTCCATAACCCCCTCTTCCCACCCCACCTCCAGGAGAGCACTTACGTGGGTACTTATTGTGGAATTGCTTAAGCAATCTATCTGCTTTTACTTTCCAATCCTCCCCCACCCCCCCCAGAAACTTCAGATAGAGGGTATCCCTTCCAATAAACTAAGTACTGCAATTGTCCTCTGTGTCCTCTGGAATCTAGGGTCCTTTTTATTTCAGTATGTTTTCCCTTCAAATATAAGTGGCTTTGGGGCTGTCCGATCTACTGGCCTGAGCTGTGAACTTGCTGGCTTCAGTAAGCTACAGTGGAAGACCAGATGCACTTTCCCCAACAGCTGGGGAAGTTTCAATTGTACTGTGATAGGGTTAATTACCTTTACTATGGGGAATGTTCCTACAAACTTCGGACCCAATTTCCTAGAGGCTAATTTTAATTTTAGATATTTGGTGGATAGGTAGACTTTCTCTCCCACCTGGAATTGTAGTTGGAGAGACCTGTGTTTGTCAGCCTGTTTTTTATAAGCTTTTGCCACCTCTCTCAAAGCACACTTAGTATTTTCCCACGATCCTTTTAGGGATTCCATGCATTCATTTAATGACATGGATGAGGTGGGTTCTTTGGGTAATTTGGACATGGGGACGAATTCTAGTTTTGGTTGTCTGGTTTATGACCAAGTGATTGCGCTGCTGTTTGGGAGGAAGGGATCATTGTGTGAATTATAGCCCGTGTCTGTGATGACCTCTACCTCACCTTGGTGTCCCGTATCTAGCCCCACCAATTTTGACTTAATTGTGAAAGGACGGATGGCTTCACTTACCATTAGGTCGTCCTCACCATTGTCGCTGATGTCACTGCTCATCAATGGCGGGACCTCAGGGGCCGAAGTTGTTCTTCCCCTTCTTGGGGGGGGGGGGAGAGACCTCAACGGCTTGCTGGATGAATTTCCATTTTTCCGCGGGTTTCAGCTGCAATCCTTTTGGCTTTGAGGAAGAGGTTTGGCCTCTCATTTGCCGCATGAGGGCTGGGGCCAGGTACTCAGATGCTCAGTGGCCTTGATGTCCACACCGGAAGCATTTTATGGGCATTAGGGAGGCCCCTCTAAGTGGCTCCTCCACTGGGCATGAGCTGGCTTGCCATCCCAGTTGAGAGAAAATGAATTATTCCTGTAAAAAGTATAACCTAAGTAACGCCATATTTAACCCTTATATAATCTGATTTATATAACCTGGTAGTTAGGACATGAGTTAGCATTAAATTTTGGAAAGGAAAAAGGGAACTGTGATGTTTCTGTGATGCTTGTTTTGAAGAACTGTGATGCTTGTTTTGGGGAAATAAATGTTTTGGTACATTCCAAATTGGGTCTGGATGGCCTAAAAAGAGGAAGAGCCTGATGATCCATACCAATCAGTATGGAAACATCTGTGAAGGGTATTTTCGTAGGGTATTTTTAAAGGAGAACTCCAGGGTGGAACATGTAAGAAGAGCCAAAATGATATATAAGATCTGAAACCAATTCCCTGTGGGGCCGTTCGCATTGTATTGCTGTACTTTGAAAACTGTATTTAAACCATGTAAGCACAGTGGTCAGACATTCTCTCTCTTTCATGGGAGAACCCTTTTGCAAAAGCTTGAAATATATATATAGCTTAATATATATATTTTTAATAAATCTGCTTTTTACTTGTTCATGGTCTCCGTTTCATTTTTGTATGAGGTTTGCTGTTTTTTAAAATCTCACAATTGGTGCCTGAACAGGGACTTGAAGACTTCCTTCTGAGTGGAATTTTTACCTGAAAACTGGTGGGTACTCTCACTGATTTTAGCGATCCGGGACGGGTAGTTCTTTTCCAGAGGGAATTGCTTTTCTTTAACATGATGTGACGGGGACCTGAACAACTGAGCAGGGAAGTCTGAGCTGTGCGAGACCAGGAATACAGTGCACTGACCCAGAGTGAGTATAAGTACGGGGTACTTATAGGGTGTCTCACTGGGGTGGTCTAACTCCTTGAATGTCTGGTGCTATGTGTATGTTGAGATGCATTAGATGTGATTAGTACTCACGTTGAACATGCTAACCTGAGCTTTCCTCTGTGGTTCCATTTTCTGGGCGACTGGAGTGGCCAGAGGCTAAGCGTGTTGAGTGGATTCTTTTTTAAGGGAAAAGGAGTTCAAGGAGGGAAGTATCAGCATTAGCTATAAATAGATAAGTAACTATGGGGCCCCGACATGGAATATTTGTTAAGGATCCTGAGAAATTTACTGAAGGAAACATTATAAATTGGGTGTTTTAATCTGTGTTTCGGCCAAAATATTTAATAATTTTAAGGGATTTTTAACATTTGTATTATCTGTATTTTATCTTGGCTGTTCACCGCCCTGAGTCCTTTGGGAGTAGGGCGGTATAGAAATTTGATTAATAAATAAATAAATAAGGAAACTCCTTCTATGTCCCTCTTATCCCTTTTACTATGTTGATGGAGGGAAGTTTGGTTGAGTTCATACACTGCGCAGTATAATAATGTGATAATTAATTATTGTTTGAAGAGATAGAACATCCCCAGGGCAGAAACAGGTAGTCCAGTGCTTAAGGGGATAGAACAACAGGGGTAACTTTGAGTAGGAGTGAGAAGCTCACTAAAACAATTAGGGAAGAAATATCCAGTGGGAAGATTCAGATGTTGGGACTAAGGATGATTTTGCTTTATGCTGTTATGGGTGGAAGGAGTAGAAATACTGCAGTGGTATATAGATCTTTATCATTCTTGAAAAAGGCAGAAAAGGTTTATTGTTCTTCCTACCCAAGGTTTAATGGGAATAATTTGTCTTTGATTAATGTGATGTGATTTCTGTTAACTATTCTTGGGTGCATATTTATTCTTGAAGTGATAGTGATATGTGTGTGCTGGCTAATTAAGTGAACTTGGCTTGAGCTTGGAACTGTGGAAAGCAGGTGGTGGTTAGGGCCCGAAATCATGTTTTTCATTAGAAACCACATCCTAAGGTTTTCCACTGCTTGAGGAATAAGCTACAAGATGTCAAGGATGGAAACAAAATGGGAATCTGAAGGGATAAAACCTTCCCAGGTTTTATTCCAAGTCTGCAAATGTTGTTGAATGGTATGTATGTGTGAAGGTGTCTGTGTGTCATAAAAGTTGTTTAGGTAATAAAGCTCATTGGCTTGTAAAATAATAATAAGAATAATGATAAAGCTCCCTGAAATAATTATACTAACTAGTTGGCAGGGAGGAAGCATGTGTGTATGTTAGTGTACACTAAAAAGTCTGATTGCAGTACAAATGTGATTGTGTGTGGAAAGCCCTCACACAGGAGTGATAAGGTGATCCTGACACTTGTGAATGTCTGTGCGCTGAACCCCCAAGAGATCTCCTTTTGTATAAAGAAACAGTAAGTGGCAAGGGTAAGGTAATAGTAAATGTTCGAATGAGAAAGAGAGAGACGAGAAAGATCTCATGGAGAAGTGGGAGAATTAGAAAGAGGCATTTGCGATGTTGAATGGAGAAAGGAGAAGTATTTTTCCTCCCTGTATTTTCCCTTTCTTTTTGTCTTGGAAGAGAATAGTAGGAAAGGGGGGGCGGGAGGTGCGGTTTGTTTTCCCTTTTACACATTTTTTTTCCTTTGCTGAGTCTGTCTGAGAGAGAGGAGGGGTGAATGGGTGACTTGATCCTGCAGTATTGCTTTTGACTGCATATGGCAGCTATGCAGATATATTTCCTGTCCTGCTCTGAATTGCGATTTTAATTT